ATTGGCGCAAGATTAAGTGAATGTTTGGTGGTGTTTTAGTTATTTGAGTATTTGGTATTGAGTGTTTTAAACAATGTACAAAAAAAAAAAAAAAAAAAAAAAAAAAATTGTTGTCCCGTATGTGTTGGTTCAGCCGTGAAACTGTTATGTTGCGGTTGTTTCTGAAATAAAGTTATTTATGCCCTTCCAAAATATAGCTATTAATGCAAAGTTTCAGAAACAATTCAAACAAAATATCAGAAAGAAACCTCAAAATATTAAAAAAAGCCTAAAGTCTAAAATATTACATTATAATGTCATAGATCACTAGAGAGTAATAAATTACAAAATATTATAATTAAAATGAGAACAAGTAAATTTATTACAATAGTAGTCTTCATGTCCAAGTGATCAAGCCTTTAGGAGAATTTATTTTCCAAAGCTACTCTCCAAACATTATCGTCGTCTGAAGTGGACTTTTCATAGTCCCCAACCCATCTAAAAAAATCACTATCATCAAACACCCTTTTTCTCGGACATCTAAAATATCTTCGCCCAAAACTGGCTTCTAATCGAGACGTGTATACAAAGCAATACAAATTTTATTGGCAGTACACACATTACAAGAGAGCTTTAAATTAGCATCGGCATTTTGCGTCGGAAATTTTCGACTCATATATTTGTGACGGATTTTGCGACTGAGTTGCGTCGGATTTTGCGACACTCTTAAGCAGTGTCGTAGGAGCGGTAACTCGAGAAAATACATACGTCAGTCCGAAGTGGTGCTGTAGGAGGTGAAAGAGTGGACGGGGGGCCGCGGCACCTAAAACCATCCGAAACGTTGTTGTAGGAAGTGATAGAGTGTGCGAGGAGCGGTGACTTGAGAAAATACCTACGATAGACCCGAGTAGTGTCGTAGGGAGGTGAATAAGTGTGATTCTCGTTATGGGAGAATCACGCGATGGGTAGGATTATTGTGCAAGCCATCACCAACATGGACACGTGAGCATCAAAGATGAGTGTGTGAGAAACAATGACTCGGGAAGACCTCAAGCATGCAAGTCATGAACACAAATGCTATGCAGGACTACATGCTAGTGTGTAAAGTGTAAATGTAAACACGAGTGACATGATGCACAATGACATATAGATGTCACAAGACAAACATGAAGTAATCTGCCAAAGTCGGAGTAGACACCCGCTATGAGCATATAAGGGCATATGCTCATAGGTGCACAAGAGGGTGAGGGGTGTGAATGTGTTTGCATAGACAATATGAAGCAAGCGTGCAATAATGTGACATTCAAGTGGAGTTAATTGACACGACCAGACCTATGGCGGCTGATCCGTCGAGGCGATAAAGCTGGTCGATCGACAACATGGACGACTGATCGACGAAGGATGGTCCATTGATATGATCTGGTAAGTGGTGGCTAATCAGACAAGTGGACTAGGGGCGAACGATTGAGCCCGTATGGGCGGCTGATCCATGAAAAATGGTCGGTCGAGCCAAACAGACTGGTGGCGACCAACCGGTCGAGCCAATCAAACCGGTGGCGGCCGACCAGTCAAGCCAAGAAAATAGATTGATCCAACTGATCAGGCTGAAGGTGACTGAATGTCCGAAGCGACGGAGGATGGTCGATCATACCAGCGTGGGTGGCTGGTTGACGAAGGATGGTCCATTGATACAATCGAGCCGGTGGGGACGATCAATCAAGTGGACAACAAATGATTGATCGAGTCGGCCTGGGTCGCTGATCGATGAAGAATGGGCGGTCCAGCCAATCGGGCCAGTTGCGGCAGATAGATCAAGACAACAACAAGGTCAATCAGACTGATTAGGTTAGGGGTAGGCGATTGGTCGAAGTGACGACATATGTTTGATCGAATTAACATGGGTGGAAAATCAACAAAGAATGGTCAGTAGGGCCGGGGCGGCTGATCGACCAAGGATGCTCAACCAAGCTGGGGCAGCCAGTTGATGTAGAATGATCGGTCATGCCGATCGGGTTGGTCGTAGTCAATTGGTCAAACCGACAGAGGGTGGTAGATTGGATCGATGTGGGCGGCAGATCAACGATGAAGAGTCGATTAAGTGAGGTGGCGAATCGAGTAAGGATGGTCAGTTAAGCCGATCGGGTCGATGGTGATTGACTAGATGAACCAACAGAAGTGGTTGATTGAATCAACGTGGGTGGTTGATCAACGAAGGGATATCAATCAGGCCGGGGCGGCCAATCGACTAAGCAAGGTCGGTCGATCAAATTGGCCTGGTGATGGCTAATTGGACTAGACAACAGATAATGCCGATAGATTCGATCGAGTCAGTGGTGGTCGATCGAATGAGCCAACAAAAACATGCACAAAATCAATATTTTAAATGCACACTTGAAATTCATGCAAAACATATCGTAAGAAAGTGAACACATGCATGAAATGAGGGCCGCTTGGTTTCGATGATGAAACACAACTCATCCAAGCAATCTCATGGGATTCTAATGTAAATGATGGAGAGATGTATCAATGCCTTATTGTGAGGCAACAAGACACCCACCTCAATTTGCACAACACAAGGTGGGGAATCACTCACTAAGAGGATTCTTCATGGGCGAAAAGATAAAGGCTGAAGGAATGTATTCGCCTTCTTAGTTGGTAGATTTCAAATATCCATCAAGATGAAAAAGACAAACGATGTGATTAATACAACCCCGTCTTTTGGATATAGGGCTAGAAAAGAAAAATGGTTGGTTTTGCTCTTTGGATTCACAAAGGGATAAGAAAGCATCTATGCTTATGGGGCTTTTCTCTAAACGCAAAAACCCTAACCTAAATCCTTTAACATCTAGACCTAGGGACTCTAAGAAAGGAAAAACATATGGGTTTACAAGATTTTCACCATCGTGATGATTGAGTGAAGTGTTATATTTGCTTGTCCATGCTTCGATGATGTTAGGAAGAAGCGCACCTTCCTCCGTAGGAGAGATG